AAACAGTGCAGTGAATCCTGCTTGTGCCGTGATATTCAGGACTGCAAACCGAGCAGCATCACTGACTTTCAGCTTGTTGTGTTTGTGGATATATTACTGACTTATACATAAAATCATCACATCTCTGTAAGTTTAAGGTCAACTGTTGAATGGCTGGAGGTACGACAAAGATGTGGGGCCTGCGGTACTTTTATGATCCTTTAATGTGTAATCTTAGACACAGGATCTACCAACAAAAAAAAGGTATGAAAGATTTACTGAAATGGTGAGCTGTCAGTCATTTCCAGGAAATAGTTGATGTTACCTAATTCAATGATCCTGAGTTTAAAAAATACAAGTAAAAACTTCAAATCAAGTACAGTTTTGTCACAAAATGCAAGTAATTTCTTTTTTCACACATGGTCTGTTTGTGCTGATTGTATTTTAGGGTCTCCAACACAGTTTGCATATTTTCATAGTTTTCTATTAACCGGATAGAATGACCAGTTGGCATGGATGCAGAGTAACTGTCATTATATTATTAGGACACCTTTTAGCTTCTGAGCTTTCAATGTCAGTATTGTACTCACTAAAGACCTTCAGACCTTCTTTAATTCAATATCATCCATTTCCAACGATGGAATACAATCCCCATCATGATGCCTAGAAAAATAAAATTTGGTTCCTGGAGTCTGGAGGTTTTGCATGCTAAGCCTAGACCCAAGCAGTTCAGCTGCTTCGTTTGGCAGAGCCAAATCAAGTACTAAGTCCTTTAGTTGTGTTTGAGTGAATAACTGGGGAGTGGATGAGCTACTGGATTTGGATGTGTAGTGAAGTATCCACCAGCGAAGTGAATGACATCTGGATCATAAATTTTTGTCTAATCTAATCCAACCTAATCTTGTGTCAAAAATACTTGTTTGCATAATGCTACATTTACCAAACAGCAAAATCAAAATGTGCCAAAAGACTTGGCTAGTTTTTTTTGCATTAAAATTTAAAATAGAGTTCACAGTGAGGGATAAACCAAGAGTGGTAACTTGCAAGAAGGTGAGGGTTACACCGACTCGGCAAAACGTATTTGCATCAATTTGTCGTTAAGAGCAAAACAACAACTACAAAATCAGACTGGGTAAGGAACTTGTGGTGGTTGATTTTCGATTGGGGAAGTTTGGCCCTACAAGATACTTTCTTTAATGAGCAGCTGTCTAATTAGGCACAGAAGAGAGTATACAATGCTTTATTGCATTGTGTATGCATTGCAATAAAGCATTTGCCCCCTTCCTAATTTCTTATTTGTTTGCATATTGGTCACACTTACATGATTCAGATCACAACAAAACAATACAAAAAATTACACCCAAAAAATCAAACAAATTTTAATATTGGATAAATATATACTTAGTAAAAAAAATTACATCTTTAAATGATTATTTGATTTATTAAAGGAAAAGCTATCCAAACATACCTGACACTGTGTAAAGAAATACTTGCCCCTAGGGCTGCCACAATTAGTCGACTAGTCACAATTACGTCAGCTATCAAAATCGTCAACGACAAATTCAATAGTCAACGCGTCGTTTAAAGCCTTGTAAGATCC